TATTTTAACAGCTTATCATAGTAATTTTCATTCTCATCTGATATCTCTTGTCATATTGATAAAGTGTTTGCACAACAAAGAAAGTGTGATCTCTGGGTTCTGTTATAGAGCAGACTGTAGAAACTCCTTTAGTGCTTTAAAAATTTTAACTTTACCTTGTGTATACATTATGCAGTGTCTGTGGCACATTAAACAAAATCTTATCCAATACAATGAGCATGTAGATTTTCAGAATTATCCCACCAGATTTAACAATAATCTTATACCAGAATTTAGCCGTCTTGAGAGATCCAGAAATGGTTCAATGTATTTAGTCGTCTTGAGAGATCCAGATATGGTTCAAGGTATTTAGCCATAAAATTCTACAACTTAGTGCCAGCTAGAATAAAAGCTCTTAATTTTCATCAGTTTAAGGCAAAAATTAAGAGTTACCTTATAGTGAAGGACTTTTGTACATATCGTCGTGTACTTGCAATAGGTCCTATGTCAAAAAAACCACTTTCTCGTTTATGAAGCATACATGACTGATTCAGTCAAATACACAACTACAATAAGTCATATGTCGATGGGCCAATAAGAAAGATGGATCGTGACTTCATTTAGGTAAATAAAATTTTGGATGAATTGATGAAGAATTGTAAAGATGGGAAGTTTTTTGTCCTTCCTAAAAAGTTACATGAAAATGACATACGACTTTACTTTTTACTTACTTTTTACTTTACTAACCGTCACGTAACTTTTGATTGTACTGTTTTCCTGCCCAGCAACAGAAGAAACATTTTAAAACATTTTCAAAATATATTCAACCAAAAATTTTATTTTCTCAGGACTTTTCATTAAACTTTTTAGACTATTTTCAAAATTGTTTCATTGAACAATAGTCCTGTTCAAAAAAGTATGCGTCTATATTCTTTGGTAAATATGTGGTTAAATAAGGGTTCAATTTTCCACCACCTGAGTCCCAGGGAAGTCATATTTTTTATGTATAACGTCGTAACTTGTGGTTTTGGAGAAAATGCAAAATTTGTAGAGAACAAAAAAAATTAACAAGTTTTATATCGATATTTTTTAACAAAACTACAGGAGATTCAGAAACTTCTAACATTATTGCCACAAATTGGCCGCATTGCTCCTGTAGTGATCCTTTCCCAAGTTAATATACTCCTTTTCTAACTTTGCTGCTCTGTACTGAAGACGACCAATAGTCAGAAATAGTATATACGGTTGTCTTCCATCTTATAAACTTATTCTATTATATTTTTTTTCCTTTGTTGCGAGCTATGCCGATACCTTTTACCTTTATTTTACTATCAACTCGCATTAACCTTTTTCTTGTTGTTTGAACGTTCTAAACGTTTGGCATTCCTTTCTTCAGGTAGCTTAGCTTCCTCCGTGGATGTGTTAGTTGTTGCTCTGGAAACCTCAGAGTCTTCTAACATTATTGCCACAAATTAGTCGCATTTCTCCTGTAGTGATCCTTTTCTAACTTGGCTGCACTGTACTGAAGACGACCAGTAGTCAGAAATACGTATATATGGTTGCCTTCCATCTTATACACATATTTTATTATATTTTTTTCCCTTTGTTGCGAGCTATGCCAATAACTTTTACCTTTATTTTACTATCAACGCGCATTAACCTTTTTCTTTATATACCGTAGAATGGGGTGACTTTGATAAAACATGAATATTTTGTTTCAAGAGAGTATACAACCCAAATGTTTCGTCCGTTATGGTGGTTGTCTGAACTTTATTTCAGTGCACATGTTGATTCACTATAGCAAAAGGTGTTTGTGGCCAATATCAAAAGTATACGGTTGTAAATTCACCATTGAAGTTTTTGTTTGGATTTGAAGATTTTATATTGTGTTACTAAATTTAAACATACAGCTCTTACAATAGAATTGCAGGTAATTTTGTGTATGTTGCCTTAATGTAGGTCTAGTTGTCACTATTTTAAAATATTTAACCTAACTTATTTCCGTAACTACTCCATGAAATTGAATGATTTCTTATCCGGGGTCACTTTGATACATTTTTCGGGGTGACTTTGATACTTTATTTCTTTTTATAGTTTGCTTAATGAAACTTCAAACCGTTAATTATTTTCAGGATTTCGTCATTATCTGCATGAAAAGAAAAAATGCCGCGAGTTTATAAACGAAAGTTGGTATCAAGAAGCTACAAGAACTTCTCTGACGAAACTCTTGAACATGCTCTGCTTCAAATAGTAAACGGAAACTTGTCTGTTAAAGCCGCTTCAGAAAGATTTAAAAATCCGTATGGTACTTTATATAATAAATACAAAGGGAAGCATGTAAAGAAGCCAGGGGGCCAAACTGCGTTGACGGAGCTGAAGGAAAAATCAATCGTGTCCTGCATTGTCAAATGTGCAGATTGGGGATTTCCATTATCGACGCTAGATGTACAACTTTTCACTAAGAGTTATTTAGAAAGAACTGGAAGAATTATCTCTAAATTTAAAAACGGGGTAAGTCCTGGTAATGACTGGGTAAAACTTTTTTTAGAGAGACATAGTCAGCAAATCTCTGAACGACTTGCGTCTAACATTACTAGAGCTCGGGCAGGTGTCACAAAAGAAACGATAGAATCATATTTCAATAATTTAAGAACAACTCTCTCAAATTGCCCTCCATCACACGTTTTCAATTACGATGAAACCAACGTTAGTGATGATACGGGGAAAAGAAGATTGCTTTATAGAAGAGGGACCAAATATCCAGAACAAATCACTAATCATAGTAAAGCCGCCACATCAATAATGATGTGCGGTGCTGCTGATGGTACACTACTCCCTCCTTATATAATATATCGCAGCGAACATATGTGGGATGCATGGACATTAGGAGGTCCACAGGGCTCTCCTTGTTGTAGTAGTGGATGTTGCGCAAGAGGAGCTAGATATAACCGAACAAAAAATGGGTGGATGGATGTAACTTGTTTTACATACTGGTTTGAGACCATATTATTACCCCACGCAAGACGGCTGGAAGGTAAAAAAGTTATGATCGGCGACAACTTGGCGTCTCACTTTTCAGATCATGTTTTAGAATTGTGTGAATTACACAATATTGAATTTGAGTGCCTTCCCAGTAATTCAACACACATATGCCAGCCTTTGGATGTGTCTTTTTTTAAACCCATGAAAGTCTCTTGGCGAAAAGTTTTGACGGAATTTAAATTGCGACACCCAAAAATTACTGGTGTACGTAAAGATCAATTTCCGTCGTTATTAAAAAAATGCTTGAATTAATGGATCAGACAATTGCAAACACTGAGTACAAATGTGGAGATTGTGAAAAAAGTGCAATAAAGAGAGTTTTGAAGAATGGGTTCGAGGCTTGTGGCATGGCCCCTTTCGATCCAAATAAAGTCTTGAGTAAGATTACACCAATCAACCATGATGTTGATTATGTAGAACCTCTGATTAACGACAGCCTCACAGACTATCTGATGAATAAGAAGTCCGAGATAGAAGTTACTAAACGGCAAAGTAAAAAGAAACTTCATATCCAACCTGGTAAAAGTGTAAGTCGACATGTAACGGCAGATGACAGCTCCTCCGATAGCGAGTTAAACAGCTATAATAGTGAAAGCGAAAATGAAGATTCTGTGGAGGACCAATCATATGAAGATGAGATGAATACAAAACCCTCCCTTGCTGAATTGAATGTTGGAACTTACGTGCTTGTAAAAATTATGTCAGGTAAACAAAAATGTAAAAATTACGTATATTCCGGAAGGATACAAGAGAAATTACCTTTTGACGAATACGAACTCATTGGACTTAAATCACTGGATGAGACCTATAAACATTTTACAGTTGTGGAGACCGACGTTTTTAACGCTCCTTTCGATGATATCTTAGCAATTCTGAAGACCCCATCGGTTGAAACAAATGAAACAGCAACTACATGTACATTTCCTGGCAGAGTTGATGTTAAAGAAAAATAACTTTGATTTTGTTTCCGTTCAAACTACATTCTTTTGGCTTTTTTTTACTATTTTATACTGTTTTACTAATTTGCTAAAATGTTTTTTACCTGAATAAAGTATTAGCTACCTGTAAAATTATTTATTATATACTAATTATTGTGCCTATAGCAGCTGTCAAAGTCACCCCAAAAATTAAAATTGAAATATCTAAAAATTGGCTTGATCGATTTAAAAATGGGTTGACATTGACACCATTACAGCTTTTATGCATCGTCCAAGCTATTTTAAAATAGTGTATCAAAGTGACCCCACATCAATGGGTGATTTTGATATACCATTACTTATTTTTTTTGAGAAAATCCTCAATTTAAAGATATATATATATATATATATATATATATATATATATATATATATATATGTATATATTTATACTAACAGTATAAATTACATACACATAAGATGAATCCCAATGGACATTTTTCCACATTTTTGGGATCACCCATTCAAAAGTTACGTAAGAAAATATACGGTATATATATATATATATATATATATATATATATATATATATATATATATATATATATATATATATTATATGTTTCTCTTTTCCCGAATCAAGTTGATCATATGTATTTGTATACGCTTCTGCTTTAGCTTTTGCTACTGCCATTTTCGATTCCTTTTTGGCAACCATATAATTTTGAAGATCTGTGTCCTCCCTATTATCTTGCCAATGTTTATTTTCACTTCTCTTTTATTTTTTTTGAACTTTTTTGGACCATTCACCAGGTCTCCTTTATTCTCAAACTTATTTACTGACGTTTTTTTAAGTGTTTCATCATTCATCATTAAAAGGTTTTGAAATTGTTTGTATTTTGGTTGCGCAACATTCTTTTATTATATCAGTTCTAAGCTTAATTTTTTCTCATATTTATTCTTCCTAGAATTCTGTAGTTGTTGAATCTCTATTTTGATGGTCTGTCTGTCTGAAATATATCGCACTTTTGAAATATATTATAATAAAACACAAATATTGTTCAATATTCAATTTATATTTCATTTCATGTAACCTAAGGGAAATTTAAAAAATAAATATACAACTTTAGATATTAGGTACTAGTCCATATATCACTGGAATATGTTATGATATTAATTATTACCATCTATTTACTTCATATACTTAACAACATTTAACTAAATCATTAATTAGAGTTTTTTAATGTAAGAAAGGTAGTTGTAGCTATTTATTTGGTGGGTGAATTTCCATTGTTTTGCAGACCCATCCTGCGATATCTACATCCTCTGATTCAGTTTTCCTGATCCAAGCGTGATTCTATAAAAAATAGACATATACTTTTATTAGAAATTCTCCCGTGTCTACAATGTGTATTATGCATATAATTAAAAATATTTCGATTACCGTTTCGACCTTTTTCTCATCTTAAGAAGTAGTCAAAATATCCTAACCTAAAATGATTTTTATGTAACTTTGCATGCACAGAGTGTTTCAAAAAAAAGATAACACAGTCTCTAGGATAGGTTACAAACTGGAAAATAATTGAATCACTTATTTTGAAAAGGTAACATGTACATAAGTGCAAAGTTTACAGGAAGACAAAAAAAATTGATTTTCTTCAAAAATGATGTAGTTACAAAAATCTTTCAAATATTGCTCTTTCCATTGTTCTTTCTGTTGTGGCTAGTTTATTCATGTTTGCCTTGGTTAGGGTTCAGGTTTGACATCCATATGTCATGATAGGAAGGATGCATTGGTTGAACACTTTGCTCCTCAAGTATTGGGGTATTTTGCGGTTCTTAAGTATCCAACTAAGTTTTCCAAATCCTGCCCATGCTAGTATTGCTCTTCTAGTAATTTCCGCACTTTGGTTCTCTTTGTCAAGTCTCAGAATTTGGCCTAGGTAAATATATTCCTGGATTTGTTCTATCTCACTGCCGTTTATAGTTATATATCTGGGGTCTTCTGTGTTTGTCATTATTTTGTTTTTTTCATATTCATTTTTAGGCCGACGTATTGGGAGCTGGCTGCTAGTTCCCCCAACATAATTTGCAGTTCCTAGAATGTGCTCGCTATAATCACTATGTCGTCAGGGAATCTGAGGTGGTTTAACTTGTTGCCATTAACGTTAATGCCATAGGTTGACCAATGTGTAGTTTTGAAGACGTCTTCTAGGGCTAGGTTGAAAAGCTTTGGCGATATTACGTCTCCTTGTCTCACTCCTCTCTTAATGGGGATGGGATTTGTATTTTCGTCTAGTTGTACTATCATAATTGCATTTTCATAGATATTATGTATTAGTTGCCTATAGCTCGAGTCTATTCTACAATTATTAATAGCTTGTTCTATGGCCCACATCTCGATACTATCAAACGCCTTTTCATAGTCGACGAAGGCAAGAAATACGGGTAGTTGGTATTCATTTGCCTTCTCTATCAATGTTCTCATTGTCAGCAGATGGTCTGATGTACTATATCCTTTGCGGAAGACAGCCTGTTCAACCGGTTAGTAATTATCCATTTTGTAGGTTAACCGGTTATTAATAATTCTTATAAATAGTTTGTATACTTGACTAAGCAACGATATAGGTCTATAATTCTGTAGATCACATTTGTCCCCTTTTTTGTGTAAGAGTATTACTAGACTCTCGTTCCAGTCTTTAGGGATCTGGCTATTATGGAGACATCTATTAAATAGCTCTGTTAGTACAGGGATTGTTAATGTCTTGCTTGTTTTCAAGAGCTCGGCAATTATACCGTCGTGTCTTGGAGCTTTATTTATTTTTTAGTTCTTTTAAAGCTCTTTCTATTTCGTATCCCTTTATACTTGGTAGTACTTCTGATCCCACGTTTTTTATTTTTCTTTTGACGTTCTCCTTTGTTGTTTCATTAGGCTGGCCTTGCGAGCTGTACAAGGATGTGTAGAAGTCTTCGACAATATTTATTATTTTATAATTGTCCTTCTCTACCTTATTGTTAGAGTCTTTAATTTTGATGATTTTTTGAACTTCCAGTGTGGGTCTTAGACATTTTAAGCCTCTGTTGTTTTCAATGACCCGCTCTATTAGGTTCTCGTTCCATTTTTGTATGTCGCGTTTTAGTTCTATTCTAATTGTTTTATTAAGTTCTCTATATTCTTGAGTATGGCGTTTGTTTTGCGCTAGTAGTTGTCTTCTTTCCGTCATTAGCTATTTAGTTTCATTGCTTATTTTGTCTTCTTTAGGTTTTTATTAATCTCGTCAATTTGATCTTGATTATGTGAAGGATCAGATTCGAACTTATCCGCTAAGACCTCTCGGAATCGCTCTTCATTTGTTCCTAGTTTAAAGGCATCTATCCTCGTTGTTTTTTTAAAAATCCTTTTTCTCTCTTCTGTCATGTTAATATTTATTTTTGCTCTGACTATACGATGGTCACTGCCCGTTGTTACGTTGTTTATTGTTGTGACGTCTTCAAATATTCCTTTGTTGTTTGAGAGAAAATAGTCTATTTCATTTTTGGTAGTTCCGTTAGGTGCGACCCATGTCCACTTTCTGTTAGGTTTCTTTTTGTAGAAGGTATTCATAACATACATGTTTTCTTGTTCCAGGAATTCCATGAGTTTTTCTCCTCTTGTGTTTCTTGTGCCGAATCCAAAGTTTCCAATCTTGCTTTCAGAGTCTTCAAACTTACTTCCAATTTTGGCGTTAAAGTCTCCCATTATTATTATTTTGGATTCTTTGTTGTTGTCTATAGCTTTTTTAACGTCTTCGTAAAAAGAATTTATTTCTTCATCGGTTGCTTTTTCAGTTGGAGCATAAACTTGCACGATCTTTATTTTAGTTTTTGGATTTAGTTTTAAGACCATGTATGTAACCCTGTCTGATATGCTCTCAATTATTTGAATTTGAGATTTTCTCTTCTTGTTGATTAAGAAACCTACTCCACCGTATGTGTAGTCTTCCCTGCCTTTAATAGAGTCTGCATTGCATGCAATTCGTCTCGAATTGCATGCAATAATTTTCGACATAAAACACAGCGCGTCACCACTAAAAGAAGGCTCTGAGAAGAACTATACTTAAAAAAGATTAAGTGATGTGTGTGGACTTTATAGTGAAGTCCATATACTGAAACGCTGCTAGATCAAAGAAGACAAATGAGAAGCGATAAGAATTCAGATAGCCACACTCTAAAAGAGAAATGAATAAAACTATTTTGAATGCAATCTAGAGAGATTTAAGGTAATTTAAAACCGATATTATTAAACGTACTATACATCAAAATAACAGCCTAAAAGTTCTACGTAGAAAACGAACGAATGGGAAATGCGATATTCATAAATTAAGAAACAAGCAAAAAATTAAATAATATAACGTAGAAACGAGTTAATACACGAAAAAATTTGATTTCTACCAACCGAAAGAGCAAATTATGGAACCGATCAAATTATTAGCAAATAGCAATAATTAGCAAATTATTCCGATCAAATTATGGAACCAATGATCACCTCCATACAGTAAAAACGCTAATTGAAAAATCTATAGAATACAACAAACCTCTTGTCCTCACCTTTATAGATTTTCATAAAGCGTTCGAAATGATCGAAATAGAGCCTTATAGAAGCAATGAATGGCAGCAGGATTGATCATAGGTATAGTGAACTTTTTTACAATATTTACAAAAATGTCACTAGGACTGTTAAGAGCACGATAAAACCCGACCCATAAAAATAAAACGTGGGATAAGGCAAGGAGATACATTGTCACCGAAATTATTCATAACGGCATTGGAGTACGCCTTTAAGATGGTCAATTGGGACCACAAAGTAGTAACACTAGACGGTGAAAAACTTAACCATATCCGTTTCGTAGATGGCATTGTTCTCATCATAGATAATTTATAAGAAGCCACAAATATGTTAAATGAATTGGACTTTGCATGTTCGAAGGTGGGCCTCAGAATGAACTTGACCAAAACTAAGTTTATGACAAATATGGTCCACAATAACCACTTAACTATTCAAAACAAAGCGGTATTAGTTTAGCGTGGGCAGCCTTTGGAAAACTGCGAGACACACTTAGGTCCAATATACCGATTAGCCTCAAAAGAAAAGTATTTGACCAATGCGTATTACCATTCATGACTATAGAGCGGACACCAGGACTCTAACCAAGACTACGGCTTCAAAATTGAGAGCGGCACAGAGACAAGTAGAACGATCTATGCTGGGAGTGACGTTGCGGGACCGAATAAGAAACGAAGATCTGCGAAGAAGGACGAGTATTGCTGATGTTCTGGAACGCATAGCGGAACTAAAAAGGAATTGGGCAGGCCATGTAGCGAGAATGCATGACTCACGATGGACGGGCAATATTACACATTGGCTGCCAAGAGCAGACAAACGTAGTAGAGGAAGACCACCTACACATTGGGCTGACGACATCAGGTGTATCACCAAAAATCGCAAAGCGCACAAAATCGCAAAGAATAGAGGAGTTTAAGGGAGGCATATGTCCAGCAGTGGACGTGATAAATGAAGGCTGGATGATGATGATGATGATGATAAAGTGTGTGGACCTCACATTCGATTTATATGAACATGAAAAATGACAGTAAGGAAACTCACCGAGAGGTATAAATATGTAAAAAATGAATGTTAATGAACTAAAAGCTGCTTAATATTAAATATTATAACTTACCATTAGGGTTTTGAGGTCTGCTCTTTCATCCGGATTCTTCCTTAAACATCTGTCTACAAAATCCTTAAAATCGTCTGTAAAAATTCCAGATGGTAATTTAGGTGGAGGTTCATTTACAATGTAATCTAACAGTTCAAATATAGCCATAGGTCTAGGTCCTTTAGTGTGATCTGGCGAATCAGTATCATTGTGAGGTCCAAATATGGATGCAAGTGTTTTTGCGTCTGGAGGAGGAATTGGATACATTCCAATTGCCATTTCAACCAGTGAGAGTCCCAAAGACCAAATGTCACTTTGTACTGAATAGTGGGTTCCTTGTAACCGTTCTGGCTGAAGAAATGCAAAATTTAAAATTTAGTAAAGAACTTTGTAATACTTAACTACATAAAACTTACAGACATGTAACTCCTTGTTCCAACAAAAGAATTGGCCATTGAATCAATAAGTTGACCAGATACTCCAAAATCACATATCTTGATTTCCCCTGAACTATTTATGAGTATATTACTTGGTTTCACGTCTCTGTGCATTATTGCATGTTTGTCTCTTAAGTAACTAAGCCCTTTGAGAACCGCAAATGTGATTTTACCTATAACAAGTAAAGTGGTAATTTAAAAACTATTTTCTTGATATTTCCATATTATCTAGTGTACTTATGGGTAATATTTTTACTCAATATTGCATGTATTTCTGATTCTATATATGCGTTGGATAGGACATGGAAAAAGAATGGAAGAAGGCGAAATACCAAACAAAATATTCAAACAGATGCCAGTAGGAAAAAGAACAAGAGGAAGACTGAAGCTGAGATACTTAAAACAAATAGAAAATGATATAACAACCTTAAAAATAAAAAACTGGAGGAAAAAAGCATGAAACAGATCAGAATGGAGAAGAATCCTGGAACAGGCCAAGACCCAAAAAGGGTTGTCGAGTCAGTGATGATGATAATTCCCTATGTGTTGTCTTTTACTTAATGTACAAGTGTTTTGTTTTTGCTAAATCCTTACAAACAATAAATGGGCATCCCGATCTAAATCTGATAGAATATTTATGGTCAAGGCTGAAAGTATTAGTATCACGCTGAAATCCAAATAACAAGGAAGAACTGATAAAAGCCACTATTCAAAACTGGTTTAGAGTTATTACACCAGAAGATTTGGCTAGTCTTGTAAACCCCATGCCTCGCAGAATCAAGTCTGTACTAAAAATAAAGGTTGCCCCACCAAATACTAATTTTCTTCATAATAACCATTGTGCCATTTTTTTTTTAAATATATCTACTAATAGCTAATGGCTTTTGTTTGATTTATTTTGAAATTTTTAGAGGGTCTGTCCTTTTAAATTAAAATACATGTTAAATATTGTGTAAAAGCAAAAAATGATGCAATAAAATTAAATTTTAGCTGCTACATAATATAAATTAAATATTTGCATACCTAAAATATTTTCCGGAATACGGCCAGCTCTTTTCAAAATTAGATCCAGAGATCCTGCATCCATATACTCCATACAAATACTAATTTCACCATCACTATAAAATGCTCCATAAAATCCAACAATATGTGCAAAATTGCATTTGTGCAGTACTCGTAACTCTCTAATAATTTGTTTTTTTATTGCAGGTTTTACTTCGAGATGAATAAGTTTTCTTGCCATTATTAATCCACTGCCCTTATGACGAACTTTGGTAACTACTCCTCCATTGCCAGAACCAAGTTCTCCCAATTTTTCAAAGTCATCATCAGAAAACTCTCCTCCAATTTTTTCTTTTTGACAAAGGAACACTTCTATTCTTTTACGCTGGGTGTCATCCATTTCAAGGGTTGAATCAAGTTCTTCTAGACGTGCAGTTAGATTTTCAATGCTATTTCCCCTCACAAGGTTACTTGCACTAAAAATAAATTTACTTTAGTTATTTGACCTCTTACAGTAAATAATACATAAATAAAAAGGGCTAATATAATAATCAATAAATGTAGATTAATACTAAATCCCTTTAAAACACAACTAATAATATTTTCCATATAATCCAAGATAACTCTCCAACTAGGAAGATATATGTATAGCAATATTATTACACCATCCCAATATGTCAAGTATTTGGGAATTAAAATAGATTAGAATGATAGTTCAACTATCACCTCAATAAAAACAGCCAAAATCAAAATACCTCAGTCACATCACGAGGAACAGTGAAAGATATGGGTTGCTGCAATTAATTCTACAATTCTACAAGGAAAAGTAGAAGGAAAACGAAGGATTTCCTAGCTGAAAAATTTATGTATATGGTTCAAAACAACAACCAAAAATCTTTTCAGAGCAGCAGTTTTCAAAATACAGATTGACATGATGGTCACCAACATCTGAAACGGATAGGCATTACAAAAAGAAGACCACTTCATGTAACACATCATGTATAAAAAGAAAAATTATAACTAAACTAAAACACTTAAATGTTCATACAAGAATGAGGGAATTATGATTGAAACTGCTGCCAATATTTATAAAATGATTTACAAACCCATGGTGGAATATAGTTCTAAAATGTTCTCCAAGGATTTAGAGAATACAATAGAGAGAACTCCATTATATATGGAGTTATATACATAAGTATATTTCTCTCACTAAATAGATAATTGATAATATAAAGAAACCAATAAAAATATTTACAATAAAAATATATCACATGTTGTTTCTCTTAATTTGCAGCACATATTGAAGATGGCATTGAGAAGATTGTTGTTGAGGTAATTAAATATTAATGATAATGGTAAATTTTCATTGTATTATGAAAAATAGTGTATAATATATTTGTACTTCTAAGTTACCTGGAGAGAACATATAGATTGTTGTTGTTGCTGCAGTTTATTGCTCTCTTCTAAAGGGCAATTCACATGTAAACTTCCTTAGACCTCGAGTTTATTTGGTCTTGACAAACAATATTAATGACATATACATCATACCTCACATGTGAAACATACATCAATGTTAGAGATTCTAGTAGTTTAGTTGACTCAGGATTTTCTGGTAAGCATTCACAGATTTAGATATATTAAATTGATATGAGTAGTACCAAACAAATCTATAGTGAATAATTCGATGACACTACCAAAGACTACCTTAAAACTGTACCAATGCACAATATAAAATTTTAACATATGGATAAGACAACCCCTTGGCATTTCTAATAACAAATCCCAACACCTTAGAGACCTTCACTGATATTGTATTAATATGGTTAACGAAATGATATCGACTATAAATACCTTATTTAGCTATCTCAGAAAACTTACCACTATCAATGTAGTATGAAGAATCAACTGGTATCTTAATTTTATGAAATGTTACTTTATGGTATTTTTGAGAAATTAATTATACATAATATACTTGGTATACACCTTACATACAAATGCACAAAAACACACATAGAGAGAGAATTGATACAGAAAGTTATATAAACTTAGGATGTCAGTAAAATTTGTACTTGATAAAAAATTGCTGTGTATAACCCTTACATTGGATTTACTGAAAATGAATGAAAAACTTTTTATAATAATTAGAAATGGATAATAAGGGGATGGGAAGGAAGCTGGTTCTAAAAGGGGACACAATTACAAAAAGAAGGAAAGGATAAAAATACAGAAGAAGGTGAATAGTACATCAATTTAACAAACACTAATTCATAAAAGCATAAAAATAATATTGACATTTTTGAAGCATGTAATAATTTATTTCTATTTTAACCATATACAAAGCCGGCTGAGAAATAAAATTTACCAAATTTATTAATAATAATAACTAAAAGTATCAAATTAATAGTTTATTATAAATGCTATGTATTCAGTACTTTGCTTTAGGGTGTTGAGCCATGGACTCGTAAACAGAGGAATATTAAAAATCTTGAAAGCTTTGAGATGTGGTGCTACCGCCATATACTAAAAATAAGTTGGGTAGATAAAATTACAAATGAAGAGGTAATATGCAGAATAAATAATGATCCAGAAGTTATCATGAATATAAAAAAGAGAAAACTCTAATACTTAGGCCACCTGATGAGAGGACAAAAGTACACATTCCTACAAAATATAGTTCAAGGAAAAATCAACAAATAAATGATAAGAAACAATAGAAATTTAAGAGAGTTGTTTGGCTGTACCACTAACCAATTATTCAAAACAGCAGTAAATAAAATTAGAATCGCCATAATGATATCCAATCTCCTATAGCAGAGGCACTCAAAGAAGAAGAATATAAGTACATTATTATTTATTACTTGTTGACAAAATTGTAGTATTTTTTGGGTTAATTTTTGTATATAACACCTTCTAAAATATATGTCTAAACTTAGCTGATTTTATCTATAAACAATTGTTTATTTGGAAACATTTGTATGGAAATGCAGTCTACTTCTTCATAAATTTTTAATTAGTTTAAGATCAGGGAATTGTGCTGGTATCTCCAAATCTTGAATGTTATTTTCTTAGATTCTGTCTTTTTTAAAGAACATTTTAGATTGTTTCCTATTGGAAAATAAAATGACCTGGCATTTCCCACTCTGTAGAGCATCTAAACCTTTCCATGAGAAACAACTCTATAAAAAGCCTGCCTTCACCATTTTTAAGTTGGTAACTACACATTTTATACATAGATTAATGAATCATATTATGTTGAGTTAATGTAACTTCTTGTTAAAATACATTTACAAAGAATTGCTATTACTGATTATCTATGAATAACATCCAATTTATATTATACATGGATCAATATGAGAAGTATCAAAGTTTGAAAGTTTTAGATTGATTTTGGGAACATTCATACTTATTTACTTAAATAAATCACTATGTTTAGTTTTGATGTAAATAAAAAGGTAGTATATGACTAAGTCAGCCTCTTTATTCCTTCTATGCCATAAACTCAATAAAAACAAAGCAGTATAGTCTGCTCTTTTATGAAATCATGGAATTTATATGGCATTTGATCATTAAATTATACCTTTTTCCAATTATATGGTATTCATCTTAAATACCTAGGTGCAAATGCAAGTCTTTTTGCTCTATTTCTTCTCAAAACTAAAGGTTTTTAGCCACACTTCTACTGAACAACTTTGCTTTTATAAACCTTATCTGAAATCTACTTGGGCCAACCATAATTTCTGGAATTTCAGCAATAATTCTAGATGTGCAGTTTCAAAGATCATTTTTCAAAATTCTTTTAAGGTGTCTACCAGTCCATACTGTTGGTTTCCTTGTCATTCTCAATTTTGGTAGGTGGTCCAAATGCCTCCTTTCATTACAGGCTGAAATTATTTTAGATACACTATAAAATGAACTATAGGAAAGTACTTTGTTATTTAAGTATATTATTAACTTATTTTTTTGGAAAATAATTAATATTTTGTTTACTATTGATGATTTGTTAATTTGCATTTGATGTCACCTATATAGTACTGGAAACTTGGGATTTAAAAAATTTTGGTAAAGTGCTATATGTAATAATCTATGTAAATTTGAAATTTAATAAGCTCATATTATTTAATCCTCAAAACACTTTTGCCTTTGATATCATGCATGTAGTACTGGAAACTTGGGATTTAAAAAATTTGGTAAGTGATAGTCTACTGTTGTCCAATGGTGTGTATGTAATAATCTAATTGGTAATGGGTTTTACTCATTCTTTAAATTGTTTTTGAAACAAGTTATAATAACCATGGCAATGTTTTTTGTTTTATTAAAACTACTACTATTATAATATCTATCTACAGAACTTACACTGGAGTTTCTTGAAATGATGATGTTGGTGTTACCGCCGGTGTTTGGTCTATTGAACCAGGAGGTAGTGTTAGGTTTAATTTATTTTTTGACATTGTAAATATTTCAATTACATTTCTACTGTAGAAATTACTTCTATACCTATAAGTTAACTTGGAGGTTAACTTAATTACAATAATTCAATGCACATAACAAACTCGTTATTATTTACTATACGCTATTTTTATTTTATTTAACGAAATGAGGCAATTGATTTTTAAAAGACAAACTTATATTTATCTATTAACTAAAATCGAATTTGGGAGTGACTACATCCTCAACTCATGTACAGATAAAGAAAAGATAATTAATCAAATAAACTAATAATTACAGTACATTAAACATGAACACTATAGTCTATCTCTGACAGAATTCATACATTAAAAGGAAACAGATTTATTACAGCTTACAACAGCCCAAAATTTTTGGATATAAAATTTTCAAGGTTATTGATGCCTAATGACACTAATGACAGTTGAGAGCTGTCATTAAAAATGTGACAGTGGCATATTATTTTTTTCACTTTTGTTGACTTAAAGTAACAGATGTTTAAGTACTGACATAATTTGATAGTGATAAAAATGAATGATCCCTCAAAGAAAGTAAAAAATCCCTTGTTTAGTGTATCGGTAACTGGAGGAACCTTTGAAGATTTTACTCAACATGCTATACTGTTACCTGCAAAAGAAAAACCACCACCTCATACATTAAATATATCCCATGGTAAGTTTTTCTCTTTTGTATATTAAAATAATGGTACTTAAGTGTTATATCAGGATATTAGTATAAGGTTAATTTAAATGAACAAATTTGTAGGATTTATGGAGATCCTATAAAAGATGTACAATGTTCAAAAGAGTTTTAGTGTGTGTCCCTGTTTCACAAAAACACTATTCTTTATGGCATATAAGATTATTCTGAATTTATTCCTACTTTTTAGGACATAGCTAATATTTGTGATTTCTTAGTTTTTGGATAGTATTTTTCTACACTGTCTTGCAATTAATATGCTGCTTATAGTTATCTTTTGGGTCAAGTTTTTTTTGTGATTGTTTAATATATTGTTTGTTGTAGCTTTACATTTGTTTTGGTTTACATTCATACCATTATTTAAACACCAGCTGTGTAAACTATGTAAGTCATATTGAAGTTCAGTATACTTATTAAGGCAGTTCAATTTATTTAAGGTTATTAGCAAAAAGCAGATAGTGACTTTCATTGAAACATTTGTGTTTCATTGATAAATATGTTGAAGACAACTGGCTTAAAATGAGACCCTTGGGGCACACCCAAGGCACTCTAATGAGATAGGAAAGAACATTGCTCATTTTAACAATCTGTCAACACCCTGTTGAGTTACTCAAACTAAGAGAGCATGGATTCACCAATTCCAAGCATCCAGAGCTTATTATGTAGCATATCATGAGGCACTCCCAAATGTCTTGGAAAAGGCAGTGTGTATAGTATCAACCTGCCACCCCTTCTTAAGTGTATCTGAAAGAAAGTCTATCTGTGTCTTCAAGGATGGATCTTTGAGGTCTAAATCCAAATTGTTGGTCACTTAGAAGAGGCTCAAGAAGTAGAGATAAATACTTAAACAGCAAACTCTTCAAACCTTAGGGATTGAACTGAAAATACATTTTTAGTAACCTAAGACTTATGAAACATGACTTGAAAATTAGTTTTAAAAAATTTTCTTTCCAAAAGTCTGGGAAGATTAGAGTTTGTAGAGAACAATAAAAGATATAGTATAGGAGCATGGAAATATGAAAGCTATAATTCTTTAGAACAATAGTAGGGACTCCATGTGGGCCTAGACGCTTAAATGTGATGTTCTGGAATATGGATAATGGATGATGGTATTTCATGACTAGGTATATTAAGGTTATTATATGAATTCATTGTGGTGAAATAGTCTGTAAATATATTGGCAATATCTTGACCAGAACAATTTGATCTGCTCAGATAGCTAAGCTCAGAAAGAAATGTACTAATTTTTTGCTTGTTCTTGACAAAGGACTAAAATTTGAGTGGAATAAATATAACTTTACAAAACTTCTGGGCCAGTAATGTACACAAGAGCACTCAGCCTCTTAAACTTCTGGTAATCATCATTAGATTGTGTTAACTTTAAATTTTTTGTGGGCAATTTCATTTGAATTTATTCAAAAATAGGGAAAGCCCTAATATACACAAATATAATCTATTTATGACAACATTAATACATAATATGATAAAAATAACAATTACACTTTAAATTGCATTAAAAACTGTATTTTTAGATATTCTTGAAAAAAAAGCATAATTTTTTAGAAATCTTTTTAATATATAATTAAAATGATCATTAAAAGACAATAAATTATCCAATTGAAAACCAAGATACTTAATTTTTGTGATGATTTCTATTTTATCATTGTCAATTTGAAGATTAATAGAATTTATATCAATATTTGATATTTATATTTAGTTGTTATTATCATAGCCTTCATCTTTAAAACATTTGTTTAGTTTGTTGATGTTTAAATATTTATTAACAGACTGTAATGCCAAATTCATTCTAGATACAGCATTTTCTAAGTTTGAATCAAAACATGTAAGTAGGGTGTCATCTGCATACAAATTAAAGAAATCACATTTAAGAAACAAGTTTATATCATTTAAATTACAATATTAACAAAAAGGGTCCTAAGACACTACTTTGTGGTACCCCAATATTAATACTAATTTCAGAAGAAGTAATATCATCATTCCTTATTGGTTGGTTTCTATCCAATAAGAAATCTTTAAATCATTCAAGAACAGATCATTATCCAATTCAGACCTGAATTTACAAAGTGAAAGTTGCAGTGCAGTTCACAGGAATATTTTTTACAAAAACCTGACTGATTATTCATTAAAATTTAATTTTTGTCAATGTGATCCATGACTTGATCATATACTACTAACTATAATAATCTCTAAATGGACGGTAGTATATTAATAGGTCTAAATTCATCTGCCTTTATTATCAACTTTTGATATTGGAACAATTGTACTGATTTTTAATAAATCTGGAATTTTGGAGGATTGAAGAGAAGTATTTATAAAATTTAAGATAATGTGATAATAAGTTACAAAAACTCTTTTAAAAATTTTGGAGTTTTGTAGTTCATTAATGTTACTCTCATTATCAAATGACTTATCCATTACTGCTGTCAATCAGTGATACTAACCTAATTTCATGCAAAACTGGGATACAAATTCTGATTATCATAACTCCATAATTCTTCAGAGTCAATAGTTTCAACAATTTGCTAAATACTAGAGACAATATACTCACCAAACTGACGCACCATTTCAACTTTGTCACTCAGAATGCATAACTGATTCTGAACATTAAATTCAATGCAGTAAGGGAATTTTTGATAATTATTGTCAATTAGTGTTTTTACTGTGTTCCGCATAAATCTAGAGTTATTTTTGTACCTATCGATTTTATCAAAATAATATTGTTCTTTATTTGCTTTTAACATATTAACTACCACATTTCATGCCCCTTTAGAATCCTCCCCTTTGGCTTTTCTATCACCTATGTTAGTAGTTTTTAACTTTTTGTATAATTTGTACCTAATTTTAATTTTTCTATTAACTTCATTATAAAACCATGATATGTTACTTTTGATCTGACGTGTTTGAATAGGTGCTATTTTGTTTATGACAGACTGACTGCTAAAATTTCATTGTAAATAGTATTGACATCAGTAGAATCTAAAATCCAATCACAAGAAAGTAAATTCATTTATTTTTGATATATTTTTTTTATTAAGATATCTGTAACATTTACTAGAGACATTAAAATTTTGAAAACTGTTACTAAAACTCGCTGCTATTATTTACTGATTACCCAACTTGGGAGTTGAATAAGCAAAACAACTAACCGGATTATTATTAACAAGAACATAATTAATTAATGTTTCACTAAGTTAACATTTTTAATTCTAGTAGGTTCACTTACTAATTGCTTAATGCCACATCACCAAAATCAGCATGTAAAATACAATTGACATTACTTTTAAATAACTTGTTAAAAATATGCTCTTAAGTTCTCTACAAATACTGCAACAGAACTAGAAGGTAAATGATACATGCAATATCTACTCTAAATACTAGGCAAATAATGCAGAAAAGAAGAGAAATGAGAAGCGAGACTGAAACTAAAGCCACCGAATACAATCGACCACTCGTTCTGGCTTTTGTAGATTTCCGTAAAGCCTTTGACACGGTAGAACTAGACAAAATCCTGGAAGCACTACAAGCATGCCGCATTGACTACCGATATACAAGGTTAATTTACAATACATACAATCGGCAGAGGAGTCCGACAGGGTGATACTTTATTGCCTAAACTGTTTACCGCAGTACTAGAATATGCTTGTAAAAAACTTAACTGGGAAAAGAAATGCCTGAATATTGACGGTAGAAGATTAACAAATTTGAAATTCGCAGTCGACATAGTTTTGTTCTCGGACAACCTCAAGGAGATTGTACAATGCTACATGAACTTCAGTTAGTGTGTGCCAGTGTGGGTCTTAAAATAAACGTCTCCAAAACAAAAATTCCTGACAAACCTAGTACCTAGCGGAAATATCAATATTAGAGACATCAAGTAGAGCTGGTGGAAGATACATATATCTTGGACACGAAATAAAGATCACAAGAGACAACCAAACATACGAACTATGAAGAAGAATAAACCTAGCCTATGGAAAACTCAAAGACATCTTTTTACATTTATATTTTATTTTTTACAACAGTTTTAGCATATTCAGCTGTATTTAGTAGGTCTCATTATGTTAGCAAATTTTCCTAATCTATATAGTTTTATATTATTTTTGTTAATATTAAAATCAGTCAAAATATTATAGGTAATGGATTTTGACAAGAGGTATGACCTTGTAAATAACAGGTAAACTTGTGTACTGCATGGGCATGACTCATAGCTCTTGTCAAAATCCATTACCTCTAAGTACCGCCTGTTTGTCTTCTGCATTATGTTCCAATTGGTTATTTTTAACCGATTCATTAACATTAAATATAATTAATTATATTGGAAGTCCTATTTTGTCTCTCCAGCATTTTGGAAATAATATCCTCCATATCTGGTGCAACAAATGTGACATTTTCCATATGTAGAAATTTATTTATACTTTCCTTAAGCTCACTCACTTCTTTTAACAGAGCTGGTACCTTCTGAAATGCCGCTTCACGCTGTTCACAGAAAAACGTTAGTTTATGTTTTGTTTTCAACTGCATGCATCTACCTTTAGATGCTGTTAGATTACCATATTTAATACAAAGAAGTGTTCTGCATTTATCACAGGAAAAAACTTGGTTTAATGCAAATTGGTTATCACATTCGGCACATGTTTCCATTTTATTTATTAAAATATAGAACAAATATAGAAAACTTCCTGGACTA